GAAATAAATAGCATGATACAAAGCAGAAAAAGAATTACAAAATGATGTAATATTTAACTAACCTGTGTGAATGCTGAAGAGTAGATGGAACAGTCAAATTATAAAATAATCACCAATGTTGTAATTTTATTGGTAAGTCAATTTTCCAGGTTTAGAAGTTCCCAGAGTTTATTCAGTCAAACTTAACATTGGGAAAACTTTCTTTCTTTCTTCAAACAGAGCACCTAGCTTCTACTGAAGACGTGGTAGCAACTACATAACATTTAAATGTCATGTTGATATTTTCTATAGGTACTATAAAAGCAAAGTTTAGCTTCTGGGATATGGAGGTTGACCTAGCCTAGAGTGCCTCCCTAACAGATCTGCAGCTCTCCAAATAAGGAGGATGAAGCAGTCGCTCCAAAGGAAGGGACCCAATGTCAAGAGCCTTCCAACCATTCTGGGAAACTTTACAGAGCCAGACTGAACCTGACTATGCAGCACAAGTCTGATCCTGCTCTCATACAATTCCATGGTAATACTCCACTGGCTTCAGTCATGCAGGACGGAGCCCCATTTCTGTGTGGATAACTCCTGAGGCAGGAGTCAGTGGGCTTTCTATACATGGATAGCCAGAAGGTCAGACCTGTGGTGCCACGCAGGTCACTCACTCTCTCCCTCCCCAATAATTTCCTGGTCCTAGCCAAGTACGCTTACCTCCTGTATTTTCCCTTTCTTCTCCCTGAGCAACTGGCCCATACTGACACCCCTGGCATGAGCTTTGATCCCTAGATTTAAAACAAATATTCAAAAGCACTTTTCCTCCTCAGAGTTATAAATCAATCCTTTTCACATTCAAAACAGCTCTGTGAGTTTGGTGTTTGTAGAAGCTGTTGGCTTGAAAGGCCTGAGCAGCAAAGTCCTTTGTAAAGCCACAAAGCTCTAGTAGAAGGACTATCAGTGCGGGCTGCTCCATACACATATCATAGAATACCACGGTTGGAAGGGACCTCAGGAGGTCATCTAGTCCAACCCCCTGCTCAAAGCAGGATAAATCCCCAGACAGATTTTTTTTTCCCACCCCAATTCCCTAAATGGAACCCTCAAGGACTGAACTCACAACGCTGGGTTTAGCAGGCCAATGCTCAAAGCACTGAGCTATCAAGGTTTTTTTTTTTTTTTTTTTACAGATTACATTTTGACACTGAATTAAAGCATAGGATGACATTTGCCATATTTATGAGTTCTGAAAAACAAAATACCTTCATCCCTGAATTTTAAAAAGAATTTTGTTTCTTGTGTGTTATTGCATCAGGTGCTTTATGATGCACCAGTTGTTGGCTTAGAGACTGAGAGGTGCTGAGAACCCCCAATTTCAGTTTACTTAAATGGGAGTAAGGAAGAGGCACACTCTCTGCGGATCAGATGCATATTTTACATTCAATCTGTGATGGATTAACCCTTTCTGTCACCCTGGGACTAGATGAAAAATGGGGCCTGCCCCAGCCAATTCCACCTAAGGGCGAGAAGAAAGGCCTTGCCCCGGCCCAGAAAAGCATACAGATGCTGCTGAATCTGGCAAAGAGAAGGAACATATACACAAAAATCCACTGACTGGAGTGGAACACGATGAAACCGACACAATGAAAATAGAAAAAATGATGAAGCCACGTATCCCTTTCTCTCACTTAGTGGATGGATGTTGCCCCTTATTTATACTTGCTCCAGGTTTTGGCCGACCTGGACAGTACATTAAAGGCCAGGTTTTCAAAGAGTTCAGTTCCCATTCAGGCCCCTAGAGCAAGTGGCCAAAACCTTCAGCAGCTCCCAGTGTTTTCAATGGAACAGTGTGGGGATTGGCTTTCAGGGGAATTGCTGGGCGCTAAGCACTTTAGAAAATCTTGAGTGAAATCTTGGCCCCATTGAAGAAAACAGGAATTTTGCCATTGGCTTTAATGAGGCCAGTATTTCATCACTGGTACAGTACAGTCCTGCAGCCTTTAAATTCCACATGTCCTGCAGGAGATATTCTGCCTGACAAGGCGTATGCTGTTGAATAACATTTGAATTCCTACAAGGAGATTCTCCTTTCCTAAATGACAGGTGGGATTTTAAAGCACCAGGAGTGTTGAGATGAATTCTGGATGTGGATTTAAACTTCCCCAAATCTTGCATAAAGGTCTGTGAGTGCATCTGACAGCAGAATCAGGTCAATACCCATAAGCTTCAGATCTTGCTCCTTAGTGTGTTACCTTCCATGCTTTTAAAAACAAAGGGAGCTAGAATCCACTTGGCTGGTAAAGGAAATGTAGTTCTGTCTCCTCTGCATTCTATGGGGCTGACAGACTCAGGGTAACCTCAGGCATCACTAGAAAAAACATCGCCTCTGAATATCATAAATAAACCCTGGACTGGATTTTTGCACTCGTTGAAAATGGATGCAGAATGCAAGAGCCTCTGGTCTCATAATCTCATGGGAAAGACAAGTAACAAACATCCACACAACATATACCTGTCCCCATGTACAGTGTCTGCAAATTAGAATCAGATTAAAAATATGAGGCATGCGGCGAAAGCCCCACACAGGGAGTTGACACAATACTTTCTAAAAAAAAAGTCCTATTACATTGGATAGAAAACACTTCTTTAAATAGCACTGATGTTAGCAACTTGCAGAAACCTTTACAGCTGGGAGGACAAAGCTGGATCATTTCAGACCAATGGTTTCTATCAACACGATGTGGCTGAAGCTTATTAACAAGGTGTGGAGGCGACTTCAGGGATTACTGAAGGTGCTCAACTCTAACAAATGGTACTCAGTACCTCATAAAATCCAGCCCCTGATGAGGCGTGGTTATGACCATTTTGAAAATGAGACCGAAAGTGACTTAATTACTGATCATCATTTATCTATTTATTTTGATTGCTAGTTATTATTAGTGATTAAAATGTCCATAGGAGCATTGCTGTGAACGATGCTTCACACACATGGAAAATACATAGCCCATGCTCCAAGAAGTGACAGTCTCAACCAGTGTGATGATTTTATATCACCGTCTCAACTAGGCTTATGATGTTGGGACAGATTCTGCCACCCTGACATTGAGTAGTCCCTTATTCTATGAGTAGTCAGCTAGAAATCAGTGGGACTGTTCACTAACTAAGGTGCCGTTCAACATGAGTGTCAGAAACTGGCCCTTAATGTAATAAGCCAAATTAGACTGCTCAAAACAAAGGCATGGGATGAGGGAAGGAGAAGAAATTACATTAACAAACAAACACAAAAATCACCAGGGGAAAGGGAAAAGTGCCATTGGGACAACAATATTTCTATAAAACTCAGATCAGTTGTATGGACCCAATCCTGAGCACGACTCAGCACTGTCACCACTGACGTCAACTAGGAGTGGAGGGCACTCAGCACTTGTTAGGATCAGGCCACACATTGTGTTTTTGTTTCCTTTGTTTGCTCTCTAGACAACGATGAGGTGAAGATACAATTACACTTGAGCATAGACTAGAAAAGTAATAGAGGATTATGGCTGCTGAAAAGGTTTCCTGGTTTTCTGTTAAAGAAACTGCCTGGTGTTTTGTAATGTAATCTGTGTGGATAAAAATGCTACAAACAAACAAAATGAAATAAAATAATGCAACACTTCAAACTATATAATGAACACAGTTGAGCTGTGCATCACTTTTACATTACTTCAGAAAAAAAATAATACCCATCAGTGCAGAAGTTACAATAAATGCTACCATAAAAATTATATTGTATAAATCTTAGAAATTTGTCTTAAGTGCTTTATCACCTGATCTCTACAAAGACAATTTAATATCCTGATCTTGCATCACTGAATCAATGAAAGTTTTGCTGTTGACATCAGTAGATGCAGGCTTAAGCTCTAAGAGATGAAGAACATTGCAGTTATGTTCACTGCTTTGACACTTAAAAAATCAAGGATGAAGTGAAATTTTAACCCAGGGGGTGTGGGTGTTTTATTGAGCTGGCAATGACATAAAGAGACTCACCTCCAAGTCACGAGTTTGAATCACACCCAGATTTGTAATGACCATGAGACAAATTCAGCTCTGAGATGAGCAGGAACAGCGCCATTAAAATCAATGGAATTGCTCCTCCGTCCACCAAAATCAAGGCTGATCATACAGGATGTAACCATAATATGACTGCTTGAGAGATAAATGTCCAGGTTTAAAATACACTCACCAGCAAGAGAGGCAAGAACATCTCTCTGGTTTAAGAGAGACAGTGTAGACCAGGGAGGGAGGCGCATTGACAGTCTTGCTGCTGCCTATGCTCTGCTTGTCTTGCGTGTAAACAGAGGGCTTTAATCTCCAGGATTATCAATTTGGCACTTTTCATGGACACTAAGGGCTTGAACCAAAGCTCACCAAAGTCAGTGGAAAGGGTCACAGTCAATCCAATGGGTTTTGGATTAGACCCTAGAGACACTTTTTTTTTAAATGGCCAGATTCATCCCAGATTTCACTCTGTTCCGTTAATTAAGGGTAATACTGAACATGGGAAAAGGAAAGATTCTCAAGTAGAGAGATTTCAGAAAAGGTTTGTCCATATTCCTCTGGTTTCAAATTCCTATTTGTGCTGATGTTAAATTACCTATAAATACTCTTTAAACTTAGCATGTAAAATCCTGGACCCATTGACTTCATTGGAGCCAGGATTCCACCCATAATCTTCACTATTTGTAACATTCATTTTTTTTAAATTATGCGTAACTTTCACTGCCATAAAAATCTGCTTTCATTAATAAAAAAAGCAAAACCCTAAGGTCTAACAGTAAGAATGGAATAGAGTGCATGACTCACAGTTGCTTGATTGCATATTATATCTTTGTCATGCCATTTACCACTAGAATTTATTGCCTAACCTTATGAAAGACCTTTCTACTACATTTCAAATGTGTGGTTTGGCAGACAGCATTTAAACCTAAGCGAAAAAATCGTTCAACCTCTTCCTCATACCTATTTGCAGAACTGTCCTAATCTGTGCTCTGCTTATTATTTGCTACCAAACACAATGCAAGGGATTGTTAACTGAGTCCTGAACTGTAGAGACTACAATGTAATCGGAGAGGTTGCCTTTCTGCCGATGGGCCTGATCTCAAGTGGTGCTAAGCACCTCTTGCACTATGTTCAACAGCCTCAACTCCCACTTATGGGGGCTGAAGGCATGCAGAAGGCCTTATTCTGCACCATGGGAGTCCGTTGGATTTTAGCTATTGACTTAAATGGGAGCAGGATCTGGCTTTCAGCACCATCCCGGAGCTGCTCAGCACCTTGCAGGATCCGGCCCTATATTCTGTTATGGTGATTACGATCTCTTGAGCTATTCTTGGAGACAATCCCTGGGGTGTCTCTGTCCAGGGCTGGAAGCTGAACATTTTCAATTGGGGGGTCTCTCTCTGTGGGACTCATTTAGTCTGACAAAAGCTCAAGTTTTGCAAATACGAGTCCCTGAACTACATCCCCCAGCAGCAAGACCTGTGGTGTGTTAATATTAACTGGCTGTCCCTGACTGAGACTAACCTGCATTTGTTTTATTTGTCTGAATAGCACCCTGATGCCACAGCAATGGGCACTGCGTGAAAAATCAGTACATAAATGCGTAAATAAAATAAACAATGTTACGTTTAGTGCACCAGAGAGAAGCAGAGAAAGCCCACGCTGGGAAATCTTCCCAAACCTCCCTTTGGCAATCTCCTTTGAGCTGACTGTCTGTAACAATTTGAGAGCAGTTTCCAAATGGATGGACCCTCAGGATGCCTGAGGTTTCCTTTTATTTTCCAAATAATTGCACAGACATAATGAGGAGTTGTCCAGCTTTCAATCTCTCAGTGGAAAATTCCAGAGCAGTTTCTGCAGAATATTCCCAGGCTCCTGTTAGCCAGGGGTGGCTTCTTTTTACACTGGTAGTTCAATAAGTCTGTCTGGTACAAATTATGGTTTATTAAAAATAACTAAAGCAAGAACTGTTATTAAGACTTCCAACACGGAGAGACTTTTCAGAGCTGTGTTGAGCATTGTGTTATGGAAATCAAGGCTTTGTCTGTGAAATGCTAACATTATTTTACGCTTTAGCAAACATTTTTTCTAATAGTTTAACCCTTAGATTGGCTGTATAGATTACATATATATTATATTGTATCTATACTATCTCATATGGTAATATATATGTTAGATTATGTGTAATCTGTAGTACGTTTATGTAATTTGTATTATATATGTGTACGCAGTTTGCAGGCTCTGAAGGGTTAACCACTATGCTTTCGTATCACTCAGGTCATGGTTCCAGTATTATGCATCTGTGATCAGTGAACTCGTTAACAAAACATACAGCATGGTTGTGGAAAAATCGTGCCAACCATATTTCTCTAGTCTCCCCCACCTTAAAAATGGCTTTCATAATATTGAATAAAATATCATTATTCAAGATCCATGGATAAACATCTGGAGTTTTTGAAGAGGTATGTGAAGATGACACTTCTCTAAGAGCCTGATCCAGCTTCTGTTACAGCCAATAGGAGTCTGTTGACTTCAGTGGGAGTTGGATCAGGCCCTAAATCTCCAATATATATATCTTCCAAACCCAGTGACCCCCTACTGCTAAGTCTCTGCGATGATTTTATCAATCTCTTGTTATAAAGTACAGCTGTAAGTGCCAAACATATTAGAAAAACTTTGGTGGATTCATTAACAAATAAGAATGAAGCAAAATAGCCTAACACTTGTACCTTTGATATGACTGCTGATAGATTTGCCTTCAAAAATTCTCTCTATCCTAGTCCCCTTCCTTGACTCAGGAGGCTGGCAGGGTAATAGCCTACAATGTTGCTCTTTGATTTCCTAAAACAAGGTCATGTAAAATCTAATAAGAGCAGAAAACTGAAGTCAGACATTGGCTCCCTGATTTTGCCTGCCTGAGTCTAAGACTGATTGAACTGAAAAGCTTTTCTAACAGCTTAACATCAGGCAGCCAACTAATTCAACTGCACATTGACTTCTATCAATTCCTTCAGAAATAAAGGAAGTGACACTATTCCTAAGATCCACTCATCCTTATTGCATGTTATTTTACATAGCGAGCTCCAGACTTTTGACTCTTGCCTTGATTTTAGCTGACAGTCAATGCCTTCACCTTGCCAACTTGTCTAGGAGCTCAGGTCTTGGGAGCGGGGGTGTCTGGACAAAATATTCAGCACTGACATTTTTTAAAATAATTAAAATTGATTTTCACAAAGAAGAAGGAGTTCTTAGCCTTAAACATGCTTATTTACTTACAGAAAGTATTTCAGGCACAAAAGGTTTGAGCATCAGTCACATACCAGGTTAAATTTGTAATAGTATGAGGAGTGTTCCATGCAGTGCAATCAGCTACTTTCCCCTATTAAGAGCTGAAAGATGTAGAGTCTGTAAAAATACATAGAGATATATAAAATGTGCATCATTCAAACTATAGTCTCATGGTCCGAGCTGACTCCAGTAGGGTTTATGTAACAACAATATCTGTCGTAAGGGCTATTCTCCTTGTAGGAACAAACAATTATACTGTCTTTTGGAGCCACAAAAATGTTGTCCTCTGTGTCAGGGCAGGCAGCACTGTCCCAGGGAGGAGAACTCTTCTTCTCCAAGGCACTGTAAGTGGGACCCTCTCCCACGAGCACGTTCCCTGGCATCTCCGGGTAGCAGGTCTCCAGGTATCTCAGCATCTCCTCCTGGTCCACCCTTTTGATCAGGCTCTTGCATTCTCCCATGGTGGTGGTGGTTGTGGTGGTGGTGCAGATGGACACAGAGTCCTCTCCCTTCAGCACTTTCCTGTCCTGCAGGTATGCCTTCTTGGCTAGCTCATCGCAGCTGCCTTTGCCCGATTCCAGATCTGAGGGCGTTCTCAGCAGCTCCACCACTTCCTTGTCTTTCGCCTTTTTGCTGCAGGGACGCTTGTTGTCAGGCCATTTGGTGCAGCCATCTGTTTTCCTCGTTAGTGCAATGGCAGCTATGCCCGGCAAGCAAATAGCAGGTCCTATTGCCAGGAGGGGGATGTCTCCCAGGGTCTCCCCTTTCATCCCAGAAACGGTAAACATGAAGCCAAAAACAAGGAAGACGCTGACCAAAGCCACCACTAGTCCCGTCCTAGGGTTAATGTCGTCTGGTCTCATGGCTCCTCACACCATGCAGATCATCCGACCGCTCTCCTTCAAAGGCAGTGCAAAGCTGAGGAGGCTTATAAGCCTGCCTTTGAGAGCTTTCCTCTGGAGGGATTTGCTGCAATAAACACACAATTAAAAAGTTTCCATAAAAAAACCAAAAGCAGATCCTGTTTCTCTCGCCACCGTCTTCCAGGGAGAAATGGGTCAATGGGGAAATCCCATGCAGTCCCCCTAAAAATATCCCAGCGCTTCTGCCAGCCAGAGCAGGCTTCCCCGGAGGATGCTGCACCAGGCTAAAAGAGCTCCTTCTAATCTTACACGGACAGCCCCCAGGGCCTCTGAGGCTCTGTTTTGGATCCTAGGCCAGATCAGCCAAGAGGAGATGCATTAAGAGCAATTGTAGTGCATAAAACACGGAAGCAGTGAGTTATAGGGCATATGTGCGTGCATGTCAGAGACAGAGGGGGATGGACTTAGATCCTGGAAAGAGTCAGAGACTCCAAGCTTCTAGTGTTACAGCCGATGAAAGAAAAGCCCAGGAACGGGCTAAGGACTGGGAGAAATGGGTCAGGGAATAGAAGTGCCCCAGGAGCTTCCATCACATGGGTATGGGAGGGGGCTTACCAGCCCCTCAGGGGAGTTCATAACTCAGCTGAGTTGTGCCGAAGTGAGCAGGTGCTCATCGACCAGGAAAACACTGCGAATGCCTCCCAGAGCTTTGCTTTTCCAAAAGGGGGAGAAGGGGGTGTCTGCTGGTGCCACGATCCCGTTGCTAGAGAGAGTGATCGCCGCCCTTCCCGAGCCAACGCACCCACAGCGGGGCAGCGGCTGGACATGTGACCTTCGCAGCCTGCTAGCCGCGCGGCGCCCTGGGCGCCCTGAGCTCGCGCGCGTGGCCCTGCAAATTCCCACGGGGGGGTCCCTGCAAATTCTCACGGGAGCTGTTCCTGCAAATTCCCACGTGTGTGTGTGAGAGAGAGAGACACCCTGCAAATTCCCACTAGAGGTGTGTGTGTGTGTCCCTGCAAATTCCCACTAGACTCTGGGAGTTATGCTTGAATAGGATTCCCCCCTCCCACCCCCTGTTTCTTTAAGTGCCGCTCAGATCCGAGACCTTCCCTTCCCCCCCCCCCCAAGCTGGTTAGTTTTCAAACCGATGAGCAGAGAGCGACGGCAGGAGCCAAGGGGTCGCTCAGCTGCACCCCACGTGTCCCCCTCGCCCCCACCCAAAGGCGAGGTGCTGACCGCCCGCAGCCGGAGGAAAGCCCGCGGGCTCAGGCAGACGCGCCGGAGGGAGGGAGTGGGAGACGAAGGACAGCCCGCCCCGCACACCTCGCTCCCTGGGAAGCGCTGCCTCATGGCAGTGCTGGGGTGGGAGCCCCAGCTCAGCGACCCGAAATGCAGCCGCTGTGACGCCACGAATAGCAACCCTCCCGTTTCCCGCCTGCCAAGCCAGCGGGGCGGCCCGGGGCGCTGCCCCCACCCCATCCCCCCACCGCCGCGAGACAAGCTCCGCTGCAAGGCAGGGGCGCGGGGTGCAGCCCCGACCCCATCCCCCCACCGCCGCGAGACAAGCTCCGCTGCAAGGCAGGGGCGCGGGGTGCAGCCCC